GATGATGACAATCTGCCATACCCAAAATTTCGCAACTTTAAACAAATGGCAGCACAAATGGTCAAAAAACACGAAGAACATGCTTTTCCAACAGCAAATGACGCAGAATCTGGTGCAAGCTATCAGCCTCCAGATGATGCAATATTAGGACCAGCTGTCTACCCACCAGCACGACAAAATCCACAGCCAATTTATAGACCAGACTACCAGTTTGGTTACCCTCAAGGAAAAGGCAATATTTTTAATGGAGGATATGGTGAATATCATAATTCACAGTGGACTCTGCCACCAGCATGGACGAAATCAGGTGTAATGCTTGTTCTACCAGCAGATCCAGGTTTATGGTCAGATGTAATAGCACGATGGGAGTCTATAACAATCTATAGGCTCAATAGCCAAACATGGACTGACAACAAAGCAAAATTAGCCTTTGTTGAAAATCTTCTTGGAGAAAGCGAAAAGTTAATGTGGCAACAATGGCGAACGGCATACCCAGATGTATATGCTGCCCTTGAAGCAATCGCAGATGAACCACAGAATATAACATCACAAGTTAGGCAGTTAATATTGTTAGAAGATCCATACCGAGGCTCAACTGATGAACAAGACAGAGCCTACAGAGATCTAGACAGAATAACTTGTGAAGAAACCAAGAACTTGTGGACATTCTTGGAGGATTTCAGGCAGTTAGCAATAAAGTCTGGAAGGCTGTACTTCCCCTCAACAACATATTAACTTTTTGCTAAACTTCCACCTTCTCTATCCAAGAAAGTTGAAGAATCATTTAAAGCCAGGTACCCTGGTCTAAGTTCAGGAGTTCTGCCTGCAATCAAATTCACTCATACTTTCATCTCAGAAATATGCAAAGATGTGGCGCTTGCCAAAGAGCTTAGAGATTTATCTCTTTGTTTAGCCATACCAATTCCTGGTTATTACAAAAACAACAGGAAAAAGTATGGAATGAGGAAGTCGAAGACTTACAAAGGAAAGCCACATGGTTCTCATGTAAAGCCATTCAAAAGAAAGTACAAAGATGACAGAGGACGAGTCAAGAAATGCAAATGCTTTATTTGTGGAAAGGAAGGGCATTTCGCAAAAGATTGCAAAAGCAAGCAAGGAAACATTGCAAGATCAGCTGTCTATCAAGAACTGGATCTTGATGACAACTGGGACATTGTCTCAGCAGACTTTGATGACACCCGTGTCTATAATATATCAGAAGGAGAAGGTGATACCCATCAAAGCATCAGTGTTATGGTCCAAGATACTCCATTTGAAGAAGCAGCTTTCACAATAACACATGAAGATAATGAAAGTAGCAGCGAAGATGAAAGAGAGGATATCTAACATAGTCATTATGCTTTCATGTTCCATCCAGGACCACCAACAAAAATAGCAGATATGGTTCAATCCGTAGGATCGTGGAAACCAAGCAAAGAATTGCCAGCTCAAAGTAAAAACTGTGAGCATGATTGGAAGGAAAACACAGTCACAAATTACACGATCTGTTATTACTGTGGAATACTAACCACAGACGTGCAAGACTTAACTGTCCCAAGTGCCAACTCACAACATGTGCTCTTTGCGCCAAAAATTATCTTGGAAAAACAGTTAACGTTAAGAAAAAACAGCAGATTAAGCCGGAAGAAGAAAGTGACTTTACCAATAGGGAAATAAAGCTTCTCAAAGAACTTTTGAAAGAGAAGACGGAGCAAATGTAGCAGATGATTAAGGATCAAGCCAAAGAGTTTTATGAGACCAAGGCAGAAATACAAAAGAGAGAGGAAGCATGGCAGCTTGAAAAAGGCTTGCTAACAAAAGATCTCACAGATACTCTTAAGATAATCGATCAACTTAAAGCTGAACAAGTAAGGCTTGAAGAACAAAAGAACGAAGAAATAAGAAGGCTGAAGGAGCAACTACAAGAAAGGAAGGAAGAAAGGGAAAAGCCTCAATTCCCTAAAGAAAAATTCCCACCGTTAAGCGAACTTCATGTAGCAAGGCCCTTCATGGAAGCAGAGATTCATTACTCTGAAAATGCTACATCAAACCCAAAAGTTAGGAAGATAACTAACTCACTTTACAACGTAAAAGTTGAGTTTGATATCCCTAATTGCCTAGTATTTGGGATCGGCGCAATAATAGACACATGAGCATTAGCATGCTGCATAAACAAGAAGGTTATTCTAGAAGAAGCACTTGAACCTTTAAACCATAGTGTTTTCTTTAATGGTTTAAATTCAAGACAGTAGGCAACTCACAAAATAAAGCAAGGCTATTTTCTCATCGAGGGAAACAAGTTCAAAATTCCCCTTATATATGCATTTGATATGCATGGTAGCAATGACATTGAAATGCTGATAGGTACCAACTTCCTAAGGTCCATGAAAGGAGGAATTCATATAGAAGGTGATGAGATAACTATTTATAAGAAGGTTACCAAGATCAAAAGTTCAGAGCAATCTGAGGTTGCTGAAGTTGCCATCACTGAGCTTGAAATTAGTGAAGAAGATTTCTTTGAAATAAATGAATCTATTTATTTCAACCAAGAAGGTAACAATGCATTCCTAGAACGGTTTAAACCTGTCATTGATAGGTTAAAGCTCCAAGGATACATCGGAGAAGAACCTTTAAAGCATTGGAAGAAGAATGGTGAGCTTTGTAAACTGGATATTATAAATCCAGACATTACAATTGAAGATCGACCACTAAAACATGTGACACCAGCAATGGAAGATTCATTCAGAATACATGTTGATAGTTTACTCAAGATTGGTGCTATTCGACCAAGCAAAAGCAGACACAGAACGATGGCAATGATCATAAACTCAGGAACAACAATTGATCCTGTAACTGGAAAGGAGGTCAAAGGGAAAGAAAGAATGGTTTTTAATTATAAATCCTTGAATGACAACACATACAAGGACCAATACTCCTTACCAGGCATAAATACGATCATCAAGAGAATAGGAGGTGCAAAAATATTCTCAAATTTTGATCTCAAATCAGGGTTCCATCAAGTCGCCATGGATGAAGAATCAATACCATTGACAGCATTCTTAGTACCTGGAGGACTTTATGAATGGCTAGTTATGCCATTTGGTTTGAAGAATGCCCCAGTAGTGTTCCAAAGAAAAATGGATAAATGCTTCAGAGGAACAGAATCATTTATCGCAGTATATATTGATGATATACTGGTTTTCTCAAAAAACAAAAAAGAACATGCAAAGCACTTGGAAAAGATGTTGCAAATATGTGAGGATAATGGCCTAGTCCTATCTCCAACAAAGATGAATATAACAGTCCCAGCAATAGATTTTCTGGGAGTAGTCGTAGGAGAAGGAACAATAAGGTTGCAACCGCACATCATAAAGAAGATTGTGAACTTCAACGAAGAAGAATTGAAGACAAAGAAGGGGTTAAGGTCATTCTTAGGAATCCTTAACTATGCTCGTAATCATATCCCAAAACTTGGGATACTATTAAGGCTACTGTACGAAAAGACAAATGCTCATGGAGACAAAAGATTGAAGCCCTCTGATTATGAGTTAATCAAAAGGATCAAGATGCAAGTTCAGAATCTCCCAGACCTTGAGATACCACCTGAAGATGCTTATATAATCGTAGAAACAGACGGATGTATGGAAGGATGGGGAGGTATAGTCAAATGGAAGAACAAAAAGGAAGGACCAAGAAGCTCAGAAAAGATTTGTGCATATGCAAGTGGCAAGTTCTCAACAACCCAATCCACAATTGATGCTGAAATCAATGCCTGCATCAACACTCTGGAGAAACTAAAAATCTACTACCTTGATAAACAAGAAATCACTTTAAGGACAGATTGCCAAGCCATTATTTGCTTTTACAACAAAGGTAATAGCAACAAATCCTCAAGGGTCAGGTGGATAAAGTTTGCAGATGCAGTCACAGGAACAGGCGTCAAGATTAACATAGAGCATATAGAAGGGAAACATAATACACTAGCTGATTCTCTCTCAAGACTTGTTAACCTTTGTTTTGCAGAATGCACAGGAGAAACGAAACGGTTAGCAGCAGCAGCCCTTTACTCAGTGGAGGAAGTTCTACAATCCCCTTCTGCCTCTCAGAAGAATATGAAGATTACTTGCGAAGAAATCATGAATACTTTCAACCACTCCCAAGAATCTTTACTAAAACAATCTTCACACTGGAAGAACCAGGAGCAATGTACAGACAATACCAGCTTAGAGCCAATCAAACCCCAATCAGAATGGATAAATCTGATGCATGGAGATCAGTCGCCCAAGATATCGAATTATCAGCAGCAAAAGAAGCGATCAAAGCAATGCGAAATTTACAAGCAATCATACAGTGCAAAGCTCAAGTCTGCTTTGGAAAATCAACAAGAGACAACCATTGGTCTGACCAAAAGGAAGATGTTTGAATCCAAAACAAAGAAGCCCGAAGAATCCTCATCGAACTGGAAGCCCTCGCACAACGATTGGGCCGCAATAATATCTAAGCCCATGGAAGTCCAAGACAATAACCAAAAAGAAAACAAATGCCGCTACAACAGCAAAGGATTTCTAGAAGATAGTGACAACCGTGATGACGATTCAATTTTTATTGTGGACCCCGGGTATCTAAAAGCTAATGACAGCAACTTAAATACTTTATGCATAAAAGCATTGTACAAGTGATGCAAAATGTTACATATACTTCACATAGACAAAAAGGAACACTTACAAACCTTTATATTTCTCAACAACGTCGTAGTTTTCAAGGTACAATCAAGTAAGCACCAAGTACTACAGCTAATGCCTATCTACTACAATCAATACTTCACAGTTCATAATTCTACAAGCGATGCAAAATGCTGCATATATAGTTATATACTTCACATAGACATAAAAGAAACACTTGTAAACTTTCTTATATTTCCAACAAGCTTCCTAGTTTTCAAGGTACAATGAGGTAAGCACTAAGTACAATGGCTAATGCCTATCTACTACAACAACAACTCAATTATTGACACCTGAGGGAATACACAATGGACATGGTGGGTCCCTTCTATCTTCATTACTAGTTCTTGTTTCCAAACATTCCACATGATAAAAATGACCACAAACTAAAACTGCCACAACTGAAAAATCACTCATTCTTTGTCGACATAATCCACAATCCATATTCATTACATTTGGGGAAATTGCACTTATCATCATGGAATTTGACCTAATTTGGTCAACTCTTCGTGATCCCTTATTGTTCCTCCCTATACAAAAACACCAACAACAAGAAAATTGTAAGAATTTTGATCTTACTCGATCCATTTCAAGACACAATTTGGCAATTCCGGTGGAAAACACCGGAATCGGAATTTGGGATTCCATGTTTGGTGGTATACAACGTGACATATTATGATTCATTCATATTCCAATTCGATTTTCTAATTCCTTTGACAGATTCCATTCCTTCCAAAAACATTCTGCGAATCAAATGCCTCGATGTTATTTTTTCAATTTGGGAATTCAAGAATCTTTTGAGGAATTCCATCATAAAAGAAAAAAAGGAAAAAGAAAAAGGAAAATGGGATCACCTCCATGATACCCGAATCCTGATTCTGGCCTATGACCAAACTTCCAAGAATGTTTGTCATTATTCTTTCCATGAGAAGTTGAAGTGCCTGAATAATTTGCAGCTTTTTGTTGTGAATGTTGGAGACTGTAGTAGTGACGTGGCACCTTTGATGACAATGTCCGGTTAACATTGTGGTGGCGGTGATTGGCGGCTGACTGGTGGTGGCCTTGCGGTGATTTTTCCTTGTTATTCATGAGAGATGATGACGTGGACTTTGCTCCAGTAGAGCCAACCGAATGAGAAGATTTCTGTTAAAAAGTAGATGTTATTTATAAAGCCATGAATTATTTCAAGTCTTGAAAATGACAAAATGAGAGGAGAGAAAATAAAACCTCTTTTAATGATGATTCCATTTGAGAGGTGTGAGATGCAAATGCTGCAATTCAGGACTTAATATGGTAAGCTATATACAGGTGTTTCTTTTTAGTAAATTCAGAAAGAACAACGATGAATAAGAATCAGCTCAAGTTATTATGCATAAAAATGACCTTCAAACTGATTTTGTGGTATCTTTCATGGTTTTTAGAACTTAGACCACATCTAGAGATTAACTAGGATAACTAATTGTATAAATTTGCATGTAATTGAACACAACATTATCGTCACACAAAAACCCTAATCTCCCAACACCTAGGGTTCACAATGTTGATTGATTATAGATGATTCAAGCCAAGATTCATGATGGGTTTCTCACCTAAAACATCAAGATCAATTCCATTTCTGCGAAAATTATGGTAATTATATATAGATGAAATCTTTTTATTAATTACACAAAACAGGGCTTTAGCACTTGATCATTACAAACCGACAATATAAGATCAAATTCAGACATAAAGAATCTAACCCAAATGAAATGGAACAAAACCCATTAAGGATAACTAGAAATGAGATAAACCCATGATCAAAATTGTGTAGAAATGGAAGATAAAGATGAAATTAACGAAGGGCATACCTGGAAAAGGAGGGGTCTTGTTCCGGTCAGCTCTTCGTTTTCTCTTTCCCATTCGGTTATATAGATAATTAGATATAAAAACTTATAGGTATCGTTTGAAAATTTAACGGCTAGGGGATAATTAGAGAGATTAGGGTTTTTGGGACGTTGGAAATTTTAGGGCAAGTGTAACCGAATCTTGTGGAAAAAGTGTGCGAGATATGAACTTCTTGTTAATATCATCGATTTCCTTTTTGCAATCCCAAAGGCTTCTTTGGTTCCAAAAGCATTACCATCCTCCCATTAAAATTTTCTTTTTTGTTTTATTTTAACAAGAGTAAGGTATTATTTGTTTTTTCATATACAAAAGGTTTTTAGTTTGTAGTCTATATTTGCAAATTTTGGTAGAAGTACAAATGGACAAAATTTCTATAATCTATAAAAATAAATAAAAAACTTTTTTTTTTACATCTATATAGTTAAAATAAACTAAACTTTAAATAAATTGTTTTTTAAATTTAAATAAAATCAATATTAAAATTTAAATAGTTTTAGTTTTACAACAATAAAATGTTCCACCAAATTCAAATTCATTTTAATTTCATTTAAGAGATTTCATATTGAAATCATACTACCCTTTGTTACTTATTAATAGAAATCAACAAAATGATAAATTATATATTCTATCTTTCATCAATATTTTCTACACTAAAAATCATCTTCTCAACTTACCACTTTTATGTATTTATTATAAATAGTTAACAAATTTAAATCAAAATTTATGTATAATTGTATAAAATTTTCATTTTCCATAATCAATAATTTATTTTATTTTTTTATTGTGGCATTATATTATGATTAATGTGTGTCTAAAATTTTGTATTTTAAATTATGTCACTTTTATACACTCTAGCGCAATATAAAAAATAAAGATAAATGGTATGAATTAACATGATATTTGATATTTACTGTAGTTCGTTGTAATTAAATGAGAAAATATAACAAAAAAGAGGCATCCGAACAAAAAATATTAATCATTTTAATCGTTGTTGATGCTTCACGATGAAGAATTTGATTTTAGGTTCACCACATAACGTAACTTAATGAAAATATGATTAGGTCATTGATATATAATGACTAAAATGGGAAAAATATTTTTTTTAGGCTAGAAGATGTTTGGAGAAGTTAAAAGATTCTAATCTATTTCTACGCCAAGAAGATGACACGCTGACCTTTTTAATTATGTGATCTTTAAAAAAAACAGTCTACAAAAATTAATGTCTACTCATTGGTCTGCACGATACAGACAAAAAAGGTCAGAAAAGAAAATATACAGATAAAAAAACAAACACCAAATATTTTACACGAATTCAGTTTGTATGTTTGGTGTAACTTTCATGTTTTGTTTCTAATGCTTTTATTCATACGATAATCATGGTATTTTTTTGTTGCGGTATCTTTTTCCCTTCTAATTTTTATTTAGTTTATATTTGTTATTGAATTTACCTTTTATAATAAAATAAAGACAAAATTATAAAAATGATCCATGTGGTTTTCATTTTCCGGGTTTTGGTCCCTAAAGTTTCAAAAATGAAAATTTAGTCATTTTTAACAAGTTTTGTTGTGGATTTGGTATTTTCTCAAAACTAAAATGACTAACTTGCCCCTGTTATATTTATTTTCTATTTTTCTTTCATTTTTAATTGTGTTATTACTATTATAAAAAAAGAAAAGGGCTTACTTACCTACTGTATCCTACGCCACCCATTCTCCACCCTCTCTCTCTCTCTCTCTCTATCTCTCTCTTAATGTGTGTTTTTTTGGGAAATCAAAACCATGTTTCAAATATTTGGGAAAATCTCTCTTTGTGTCTGCCACCATCACTACCACCGTCAACCACCATAGTAAAAACCCATATGTTGATGAAAACCCTGTTGGATTAGGTGTCTAAGCCCATAATTATAATTGGTTTGTACTTGAATTGATAGTAGCACAGTCCTTTTAGGTTGCTTTCATACTAGCAACTAGACATGATGACTTTGGAGAGAGAGGTTGAATTTATTATTTGAATAATAAATTGGAATAAATGATTTATTAATGTATTATGAAAATAATATATATTAATTAGAAATCATGTAATTTAATTAATATTTAATCAGAAATTAATTTGGAATTAATTTTGGGATTAAAAGAATTAATTAAAAGTATAGGGGCCATTTAGTAATTAATTAATAGTTGTGGTTTTGGGCTCTTGGATCCTTATTTGGGCTCTTGGATCCTTCTAGAAGAGATGGACGAAAAATCCTAGGGAAAGCCCTAGAATTTTCGTCCAAGGCTCTTGGGTAAGTCCATGGGTTGCTTAGGGCTTAAGAAAAGGGATTAGGGTTTCCTCATTTTACCCTAATTTTGACTCCAAGCTACCTCTGCTATTTAAGGGGCCCCAACCCCTTGATATTTCGTCCATATGCTTCAAACCCTAAGAAGAGCCGAATTCTAAAGCTTCCTCCCTCCTCTCTCCTCTCATCCTCTTGCTTGGTGTGTTTGTAAGCCATTAGAGGTGTTACACTTGTGACACTTGTTCTCAAAGTCAAGATCTTCAAGGAATCCATTGTTATTACAATATAACAACAAATGTATGTGCTCCAATCCATGTATTGTTAATTTCGAAAATACTAGAAGCATGCATGGGTTTCTTGTTTTGTGCTCAATGCTTGAATGTCTAATAGAGAAAATCCAGATCCAATAAAATTAGGGTTGCATGCACACATATGATTGTTTGTATGCTCAAAACCCAACAAATGCAACAATGTGAAAACCACCATCAACCACTATCTTCCAACACCACTATCGTCTAAAACCCTATCTCTTCTTTCTCGTCCTCCCATATCGTTATTGGAAGACTGAAAACAACATTTTCAACTCTTCTACTTGCTGCTACACACTGCCGCCTCCTTTTTATAATGGAAACTCCAAAAAACCTCTTGAAATTGAAAATGAAACCACCATCTCCGCCTTTTCCCATGAAGAAACATGTAGCCTAGAATATCAACCCCACATTGTAAAGCCCGATATTTCATTATAACATACACCCAAACTTTTTACATTTTTGGAACATATTATATTGCATCTTTATATTAAATCATGACACAAATAGTTAACAAAAGAGTTACATGTTCAAAAGATACATAAGATCCACCAGGTTTATAGAGTTACATAACAAAATACAAACTAATATAGAAACTTCATATCCATTTTCCAAAACATTGTATCCTTTCTTTTGATTGTACCGTTAAATCCTATATAACATATTATTAAACAAACATAAGCTGGAAAACATAGTGAGTAATAGTTTTAAAATCATCGAATATATTTCCGTTAAAAACTATTTCAAATTCTTCAACAAAAATAATTTACTTAACAAAATTACTTCGAATAGTAAATAGCTCAATGAGAATCACCATTGATGAATCATAATCATTTATCATCAAATGATTATTACCTTATAACATCAAATAAGGCTTCCAGTGTTACACCAAATTTTATCATTCTCCTTTACATTATCATATTCACTTTAATTTACAATTCATGATAAGTAATATGAACATAATTAACATATCAACAAAATACTTCATAATCATTATAATGGAGTAAGATTACTCACTTCTTTATGGCTTATGCGGACGGTACTCCAAAATTTTGACTCCGTCACCGGATCCTCTTGCTTCACTTACTATAAACATGTATGTACCTATACACATTAATTACCTATAAACATGTATATATAATCTCTAAGCTAACAAGGTTATTTATAACATAAATCATAATCTTAATTTCAATTTCTGGATTTCACCTAGGGTTTGCATAAAAAAATCCCAAATTTATCCACTTGAACACAATTTAAATGGAAGAAATGAAGGTAATTTACCTTGTTTTGTTAATTTGGAAAATACTAGAAGCATGCTAGGGTTTCTTGTTTTGTGTTCAATGTTTGCATGTCTAATAGAGAAAACCTAGATCCAATAAAATTAGGGTTGCATGCACACATAGGATTGTTTGTATGCTAAAAACCCAACAATGGTATCAGAGCTATTGGTTTTGTTTTTCAATTATATTTGATGTAATTGATTGAATTTGAAAAAATTAGGGTTTATGGCAATTAAACCCTAGGCCTTGGAATTTTCGTAAATTAGGGTTACATAACCCTGTTTTTCGAAAATTGCTAAGGGTTTTTAAACCCTTTCCTTTGGCCTCCTATTTTTCGAGATCTAGAGTTTCCTAACCTTAGGGTTTTCAAAAATAAGGTAAGGATTGAAAGCCTTGCCTTCCACCCCAAGTCATGGATTTCTAAATTAGGGTTTTGGATATGGTAGTTATATTTGGTAATTATCTTTTAATTGTTAACTAGAAAATTATAGGATCTTATAATTATGCCTCCCAATTTTCGAAATCTAGGGGATAAGGGATTAGGTTAAATTAATTTGTTTAATTTAATAGATGATCCTTAATTGATTTAATAAATTAATTAAAGGTTTAACTAATAGATAATTATTAAATCAAAGTTTTTTAAAGTTTAAAATTAAAATTAAAATTGTTTTTAATTTTCAAAATTTTAAATAGATTTAAAAACCCTAGTATTTTGAAATGTTTAAAATACACCCTTATACTATATGTAATATTAAAAGTTTAAATATTTACTATATGTATAAGAAATGTCAGTCGAACTGCAAGTACGCCTCATTCACGAAGCCGATCTATAAGGGGAGTTTAAGGAAGCGGCCTATAATATGACCGTCATTGGGTATCCACTCTTACCTACTGCTCCCTTGATTGGTGGAGGGTCGTTAGCCCAACGGGTTAGATAGGACACTTCATTCTTATTAATAAGTATAATGGAATAAACACAGTAAGTAAATGTTTTTATTCAAATTCTCAATCTTAGTTACTTTAGGAAAATGTGAATTTGATGCTATTCCATGAAATTGCACATTGCACTTTATAAAAGTCGTTAGTGGAGCGTGTGTGGTTAACCGGAACACAAATATGGACTTATAAAGGGTGGCAATGGGTGTCATA